AGGTTACACAACCCTCAGAATCCGGGCCCGAAGCAAGACATAGGGTTTGGTTCGGGTCCAGACCCCTGCGTTTCGATGGAGAAGGTCCCCTGCGATGGCGAGCCCAAGGATTCTGAGGGAAGTCACGAAAGCTAGCCTTAGCTAGCTGGAGTTGCTCTTGCTTTAGCAAGTTAAGTGACGGGGTGGACGCACCTCAGAAACCTCAAATAATTGATTACATCAATCTTATGGACCCCCCCCCCGGGGTTCGACTCCCCCCTGCGCGCGGTGAGCGGGACCACCAAGCAGCTGCAGCACACCAAGCATCTGCAGTCTACCACCAAGCAGCTGCAGCAAACCACAAAGGAGCAGCAGCAGCTGAAGCAGCAGACCCAGAGCAGCAGCAGCAGCAGCAGCAGCAGCAGCAGACCACCCAGCGCCAGCAGCAGCAGCAGCAGACGACCCGGCGCCAGCAGAGCACCCAGCGCAGCAGCGCCCAGCGCAGCAGCGGCAGCAGCAGCAGCAGCACCAGCAGCAGCAGCAGCAGCAGACCACCCAGCGCCAGCAGCAGCAGCAGCAGCAGCATACCAACCAGCGCCGCAGCAGCAGCAGCAGAGCACCCACCGCCGCCGCAGCAGCAGCAGCAGACCACCCAGGGCCAGCAGCAGCAGCAGCAGCAGCAGACGACCCGGCCCGGCTAGCTTTCGTTCACCCCCTCTGGCCTCAAGTTGGTAAACAAACAAAAACATATTTGTTGCATGCATATTGCATATGCTTGGATGATCGATGTTTTTGGTCCAGTCGTACCTCCTCAGAAGGTCTGTGGATTTGTAGGATCCACATACCCTCTAAGAAGGTGATGTGTTCGACACTGTTTTGTGGGCTTGGAGGGTCCAATTGCCTTCAAAGGTACGACTGGATCCCTATAGGATAGGGACATCCAAAAACACGACCCTCCTCTGCGTTCGAAGAAAAAGGGGCGGAAATGATCCGCAAAACTCGCACCTACCCTTCGAGGAAAGCCTTGGCAAAGATCAACCAGTGCATCGGCTCCGGTCGGAAGCTTTATGGCCAACCTGTTTCAGCGTCTTGGAACCAAGGGGCCGGGCATGGAGTGGACGTCGGGGCCATGAGGGGACGAAGAGGGTCAGCCGCGAACGGCCGCGAACGGCCAGGGTCGAAGCGGAGGTGGAATTGGTTGGGGATTCCAAGGAAGAGGTGTGATCAACCAAAAGGGCATGCAGCATTGCGAAGCAGCTCCCGCCTCAGTTTAGGTCCTATACAAAAAGATCTGCACAGCCCAGGGCAGGGAGGTTCCGCCATAGACGGTGTGTAGCATCTCTTGTTGTGGCTCCCGTCCCATCTCCAAAGGTAAGTCACCTCCTGTCACGCTTGGCACCAACCGTCCTTGACCCCCTTGGTCGTTGGAATCCGGCATGGCATAGACTCGGTTGCTTGAAAGCCTAGACAATGAAAGGTTTATGCCCTAGGGCTAGACTATAGGCATAGCATGTCTAGATGGGTATTTCCCTAGGCATAGTGCCCTGCATAGACATTCATTCGAACATCAGGTTTTGAAGGGCCGGGGAGTCCTCTTCCCATGTGGTGAATTCCACTTCCTTCCAGTTGGGACTGGAATTGACTCATGGACCATCATGGACCGCTTTTCACGACCTGGGTCCCGATCGCTTGTTCCTCTCGACACCTTGGTAAGGACTCCTATGCTTTCTTTCAGGTCCTTCAGCGCAAGGGTGCCTTGGAAAGGACCGGGCGCCGTCCACACTCGACCTGGCCGAATGGCCGACGACCTGTGGGGTAGATGGGGGGAGACCTCCCGTTCGCGAAGAAGCAATCTGTAGGGCTCCTGCCCCATCTCCGAAAGTGATTCGACCCCCCCAAACACCGACCATAGCCATCTTCTCAGGAGGTACTGGGAGCCCCAAAAAGGGAATATGCATATATATATATATATATATATGGTACCTGGTATCGACCCCTTGATGATTCCCCCAAAAGGACATCATTGTTTTCGCAGCGCAGCTGGATTTGGAAGATCTTCCGAATCGGTGGCCATGTAAAGAGCTGGTGCGCAGATCAAGTGAAGCTCCGGCCCGCTGTAGAAGCACTCACTGTATGTATATATATATATATATTCCCGCTCACGTTGACGGAGTCTTTGGAGGCATGCCCCATACTCTGGCACTCTGGGGCTAGAGGATTCCACATGAGATCTCATCCTTCATCGCTGGCGCAGGAAGGATGTGGCTCAAGGATTGAAGCGCTTGGACATCACCTTGGGTGCCACCAGCTTTGATGCCCTTATCCACGTGCCGCGGTGGCACAACATTTCTGAAAAGGTGAGACTGGGGTGGGTGCCAGCAGGGTTCAGTCATAATAATGTCATACCTTCTGAGGAGGTACTTGGAGCCCTACAAGTAGGGATGAGACGCCCTGATAGTCGGGAAGTGATGTGATCCTGGCCAACAGTTGGTGTATGACTCTTCCTGGAACTCACATGGAAGTGGAGTTCACCCCCCTGTTTTCTAGAAAATTTAAGGGTCTTCCTTTCGGGGCAGGTAGTTTATAGTTAGTCCACTTCCATGTTAGTTCTAGAACTAGGCAGTGCACACCTTTTTGTGCCCAATCTCCTTCCACGAAAAGGAGCTTGGATGATTGCAGGGGGTCTCAACATGCTGGGGGTTGATTTGTAGGATCATCCGGATCACACGTTTCACTGAAACATGTGCCAGCTTGAAAAGAGAATTTGGCGCGTTTAGGGTCAATCCCATGGACCCCATAAGCATGCGAGGATGAATGAAACATCGACACTTTGAAGGATCTTCACTTCATGTTCGGTGTTTCGACCGACCACCCCACCACCCAGACTGGCAGCCCGACTGGCAGCCCTAGCAGCATGACTGGATTGCTGGCAGGATTGCTTGACTGTCAAAAAGGCTTGCCAATCAGCCAATCCTTTGGGGACCTAAAGAATCTAAAACATTCTAAAACATATGGATGAATCAGCCCATCAAACCTTTATACTTGGAGGACCTAAAACATCGAGTGGGCCTTGAAGGGTAAGCCTCCTTCCGATGATCATGCGGTGGTCTTGATCCTTCTTGGTTGGGCCAAGTCCTGGTGACTCGGTTGAAATGGACGGGCAAACGAAGCCTTAGACGTTGGGGGCAACGAACTGAGTTCTCCATGTGAACGAACTCGAGTGGTTTGAGGATCTTCTGCATCTCATGAAACGGTTCATTTCACGAAACCACTCGCGAGTGACGGTGACGGCTCTTGTTCAGCGAAGACGGCTCTAGCGAAGCCTGAGCCTCAGGCACTGGAAAACGGATATTTGGGGGCAGAGGCCCAGTGATGCCCGTCTGAGCGGAGATCTTAGGCAGCGAAGTTAGAGGAGGCACTTCCCCCGCAAAAAAGGGGTATATTTGGAACCTCAGACCTCAGGTGGACCATTTTCCAAATATATCAACCTTTCATATCCTTTCATTGGTTTTGGGTGTCCAGGTGAATCTGCAGTACATGAATCCCTCAAGTCTCTCCGCTCCTTTGATGAGATCTCTATGCCACGGACCTGCTAAGAGCCCTCCGTGGCACGACGCGGCGCGACGCGCGACTGGAGACCATCGAACGCACCGGTGCGACGAGGGTCGTTCCCATCTCCAGGAGAGCAGGGACATCCATAAGCAAGCTAGGAGCAGGCATGAGCAGGCCAATGTTTAGGTATGTATACCCTAGGTATGTCTTTCTTAGAGGGTATGTATATATACCCTGGGGCTCCAAATACCATCTGAGAAGGTGGGACTGGCGGTTTGGATGGTCCAGTCGTATCTTCAGAAGGTACTTACATGGAGCACTAGGGACTGCCTCTAGTGGCTGGTTTGCCGCCCACATCGGAATGACGGATGAGCCCGGACCACTGCAGGTGATACGACCATGGTTTGGGAACCCATTGCTACAGCGTAGGGTTATGTTCCCAGTGCGACCTGGAAATATATGCATGGTTATTGATGTTATTGAATGTTTTTGAGATATGTTTTTGCAAAGCCATTTGTGATGCGGCTGCTGCTGATGATGAAGTTGATGCATGAAGATTGAACATTGGAGTGGGCAGAATCGAGGAAGATGTCTAAATCACATTCATTGGATGATGCTGAGACACACTTCTACTTCTGCGGGGAGGCTGTTTGATGAGCATTTCTGTTGAAAGCAAGCTCTGTGCTGAGCAATCGTGCTTACTTTCAATTGAACATATATTTAATTGGTCCTTTGGCGTTAAAGACAGTTTTCTTCCTTAATATCATTAATATCTCATAGTCAATGGCGTTCTCCAGTGAGCAAATGTTGTAGATGGGGTCAGGAAGTATTGTCTTCCAGGGGTTCCGTTTTTCTTTCTGGAGCAACGAGAACACAGTGATACAGTGTAACAGCTGGGCATATGCAGCATGGCTATGGTTCATCCCTCAGAACCCTCCACATGCAAGACGGAACCCATCATTTGTATTTGTACAATGCCGCTTCCAATATGCCACTTGGACATCTTACAAGGTGGCTGGGGAGCATCCTTAATTTGCATCATTGCAGACAATTTGATGTGCTAATTTGATCCCATTGCCGACCTGGGGTGCCAGGCATTTGCCAAAAAGCTGCGCTTTGGAGGGTCCGGAGAACAAGACGACTGGTGGTGTAGAACACGACACACCGGGCCTAACTACGTGCGTGTTGTAGATTTTTGGCCAGGGGCTTGAACTCTGGAAATCCAGTGCTGCAGTTGTAGGTAGCTGAGTTCGAAGACTGAACGCCTTTCTAGGTCCCTGCAGCCCACAGGTGCCAACTACAACTTTTAAGTGAACCTGGATGCTCCAGAAACCCTTAGAACAAGGAATATAACCCCTAAACATACTTGTTCAGCACCACCTTTTGCTCATTCGTTTTTGTTCGTTTTCAAGCTTCTGCAACCACCTTTTGCTTCTGTTTGCCTGTTTGCACGTGTCTTTTTCGGAGAGGCCCTGCTGGAAGCCAAGGAACTGGAGGAGCAGAAGGCCAAAGAGGTGCCCAGTCAAACACGACACGACGAGCGTGGCAGTTGAGGGTTCTAAGACGGCACATGGATCAAGCGAAGAGAGGGTTCTATACTGCCTTTTTGGATCCACCTGGGAAGGAATGCGGGCCTAGGTTTTTTATGATGTTTTATGGCCTTCCGACTGCCTCCTTGCCTCATCCTCCTCCTCTACCTCCGTTTTCTGCCCTTTTCGCTGTTGAAACTAGCCTATACTGCCTATAGCCATCTAGAGCTCCAGATGTAGCACCAAAAAGGGTACCAGTTTAGGTCTCTCAACTTCTCTTGCTGCTGGCAGGTTCCTTTTCATCCTCTTTAGAACCAGGCAAGCCATGGCTCTTGTCGTTGTGTCTTGTACCCTACCGGGTAACTTGAGGTGTGATCCTGTTTCAGGATGACCTGACCTGAGTATCTGGGGCCTAGACTAGAGGGGCTGGGCAGTGGATTTCTTGCTTGTCAACGGCCAATGGATCCAAACCGTCCATTCAACATGGTTCATCAAGTGTCGTCGTCGTTAATGCATGCTAGTTGTCATATTCTCATGCTGTCCGCAGCCTGCCATCTCCTGCCCCTGTCAACCACCGGAATCGCGTATTGTCGAGGTTCTGGTCACCTCGGCCACCATCCATTGGTTCAGAGATGTTCTTGTCGTGTCCAAGAGCACCTTTGTAGGTCAGGCTCCAACTCGCTGCCTTGGAAACCGTTCGATATTTTTGGGACTCAGATGACTCAGATTTCAGGCGTCAGGGTACATATATGATTTCACTAGGCATGGGTCCAGGTACCCCATGGCCTCATGGTAGCTCCTTTTCGGATCGTCTTGGAGGCTATAGATATTACTGTAACTTTTAAGTGTTTTTTTTGCTTGGTCTTTCTGGATAGAGGACACCCGGATGGTTCCGGTTCCTTTGGACAAGAAGCATCAATTGATTCATCTACAGACAGGATGGTTTCCACTTCCATGTCAGTGGGAGGGACGTTTGATTCAAAAACGCCTCTCCAGATCCCGATCTCTCAGTCGGGTCTCCACCGCGATCTCCACCGACGGAGGCCTTGAAGGCTGCCTATGTCCAGCGCTTGGAGGCGTCGTTTGGACTCAGAGATCCATCGAATCTAATGGATCGCGCCCATGGCGCGCAGGGATTGAGACCATCCAAAGCCAAGGACAGGCATAGTTTATGGTATAGTTCCTGGTTCCTCCATTCGTTTTCCCGAACTTGATCCCTTGGGTTGGTTGGTTTGAGGTCACCTGATTAGGGCTTCAAAAGGTTGGTTCGTCAGACTGGGATGTCAGGTCACGTTGAAGAAGCTGGTCATGTTCCCTAGGGATCCAGTCGTACCGAACCGACCCAGTTCGGTACGACTGGAGCCTCCTGGCACCCTACATGTCACAGTGGAAGAAGCACAGAAAACCATAGGATCAGAGGTTCGGTACGACTGGATCTCTAGGGGGTTCATCCTGTACAAAAGCATAGTAGTGAATCGAACTGACGCTGGTTCCTGACACCCCTGAGTGCAACAGTGGCAGGTCAGGTCAACAGTGGCAGGTCAGGTCAACAGTGGCAGGTCAGGTCAGCAGTGGCAGGTCAGGTCA